ACCTCCCTCCCTCCCTCCTTCCGCAACATTGGACATGCCACTATTGAGCTCGCTGCCTCAGGTTGTACTCGAGGGAACTCTTGCCTGCTACCAAAGCAGAGAGCTCAGACCTGCACATCCTCAAAAGCGGTGTTGTGCGCTTGTTAGTTGAAGATTTCAGACAGCCATCCCATGTCAACGGAGTGCTACAAGGCCGTTGGAACAACTTCATTGACAGGGTAGTCTGCAAGTCGATTAGGCCGACAGAAGTTTGGTTAGAACCGCTGCGTTCCCTACATGTTTTGATGCCGGCCGTTGGGTCCTGACCCGCCTTGTTGGTGTCCAGAGAGAAACTGCGACAACTCAATGTGCCGAGGTGGCATGGCAGAGCCTGTTTTGAAAAAGAAGCAGGGCGATCTAGTCGACGAGGCCAAACACTGCTTGCTGTTTCCAGTGAGCCTGAAGACAACTCATCCGCAGTTCAGTACCTTTTTCATAGCAGTGCCCTCAAGCACTGGTCTTGGTGCACGAGGTGGCTGTCCTGTTCGCGTACCCGCGCAGATACTCGTTGAAGGCACATGCTCAGATTGGAGGGCGGCTACATATTGAAAGCCCTGAAGAAACCCAAGAGAGCAGGTCACATTTTTGTTGCGGAGAGACAGCTGTGGAAGTCACATGTAGCAGGAGGGCTGCGCTTGTTCAAGCATCACTTTCTGGATGAACTCACAGTGCAGGCGGAGGGGGAGACTATCGTGGCAAAGCTTACCCACAGCGAATATGTGCCGTGGCTGAATCGTCAACAACAGTCTCTCAGAGATATGGAGGTTTGCGCTGCCAATAAGAAAGTCGAGAGGAGCCCCCCTAACCGGTTCGTACCTCGCGTGGATTGGAAAGAGCTGCCCTGTTGCTTGCTTCGGGCCCTAGAGGTCCCCGCCCCGTCCCTGGAAGTCCACCCGCGCGCCGTCTCGCAGCTAACTCTCTCTCTCTCTCTCTCGCTCGCTCTGTTGTAAACAAAGGTACCCACATGTCGTTGATGTACGTTGCAGGTCACCCTCTGCACACGGATGTCCTTCCGACAGCGCTCTCGGAAGCTTGGCCAACAAGACCAGACTGATTAATGTAAGCCTGGACTCTGAAAGACTGTCGCCGACGACGCAGCGTCCTTTTGGGAGACTAGGAGATCTTCAAGATTCGTCGCGCAGGCAACTTCTACTTTTGTAGTCCTCCAGCTGCCTCTTCCGCTGCTGCTACAAAGCCTCCTGAGCAAACCCACCTGAAGTACGGAACAACCATCCAAAAGACACAAGTTCATATTCCGACTGGGGCATGAAGCGCAGTCCTGTGCGAGGTATAAGCACATGCTGAAGAGCTCCAAAATGCTTCTTGTCTTCATTCGGGTGTGACACGACTGATGCTGCGGCCTTGTGGATGCTAGTGGGCCAAACACGTTTTGCTGTGTGACTGTTCGTCCATCTATCTATCTGTCCGTCTCTCTGTCTCTCTGTCTCTCTGTGTCTCCCTCTCTCTCTTTGTGTTTTTCTCGCTGTGTCTGTCCATGTATGCAGACGTACATAATGCAACCCGCCCGCCTCCGTGGTGCTGTGTGCAAGCTAGCTTCCAGTTTCTTGCGATGTTTTGGTGCGACCCGTTCGAGGCTTGAGATGATGGAAGATGAGGCTCTTGTGCCGGCTCTCCTGGTAGTCAGATGGTTTGGCGGATCTTGCAAAGCATCCTGCAGATGCATGTCTTGATTTCGCAACCGCTTCGATTGCCAGCATAATTCAACTCAAATCTAGCTACTGGAAGTTGACCGACCGTGTCTCTTGGCAGTGGAAGCTTGAGCAAGGGTCGCAAGCTTCTGATGCTTGCCGGTCAGTGTCCAGAAGTGATGCTGCGCTACCTTGTGTTCGTCTCTCAGCACGAACACGGTGTGATGCTGACCGGCTGCGTCAGGCGCTCGAGAAGCTTTGCGATGCCTTCCACCTTCGCAGGCCAGGCATCCACACCAAGCCATGAAGGCATGAACATGCATGAACTAGCCGACGACTCCGCATGACCCGCAGGTTTGAGCCTGGTGAGAACATCGTCACGCAGGGAGAACAAGGACTTGATGGGCACTTGCTTTGTGCAGATGTCTGGGCTCGTTTGACGGACTCCGAACCTTGAGCTCACCACGTTGCACACTGTGCATAGCTGATAAGACTACCCTGAAGGCTCCGAGTTCTTCTTGATTTCCATGGGAACTGTGCGAGTCTGGGTGAAGAATGGCGATGATGAGCAAGAGTATGTCCGAGCCTCACGATTGGTTTCCTTTCTCAAAATGGTGAGCTGGGACAGCCGAGGCTGCACTTGCATGCTTTCCTCAGAACGGTTGACCGTGTGCGAAGGGCTGCAGATTTGTCTAGTGACGCCAACCGGAGCCCAAGCCTCCTGAAAAGTCTCAACACGCAACTCAGTCCTTGTTGTCTCGTGTCGAGAGCTGCGTCTGTAGCCCTGAACCGGTTTCAGGTGTAAGCCCGATTGAATCTTCAGCACGTTGGCTTGGAGATGCAACTGCTGGTTGAATGCAAATCTGGTAATCATCTTCCACACGAAGCTTTCGCGCGTTCCAAATGGGTGACACCCGACACCCCACAACGGCTTAATGCCAAAACCTTGGACATGTGCTGCGTAGCCCTTGCACGAAGTGTCCCAGGTCAGGCTACACGCGGGGAACCTCTTCGGAGAACGCTCTCTTCTCAAGAACGAGCCGCGCGCGGCATCCGTGACCTGCGTGACCGAGGTGCCTCTTGCATCGCTTCGCATTACTTTTCGCTTGTCTTGCCGTCGTCTTGAACCTCGCCTGGTACTCCCGAGTGTGCGTGTCCAAAAGATTCGGCGGTGATCAGCTCCCTGTCCAACTGATCTGTACAGTGTTACGCTCTTTCCACACAGGTCGAAGTCCTCGTGCTCAGCCGGGGCAAGTTCGAGCGGCTGTTAGGTTCCATGAACGACCTGCAACAGCAGCTTGGGCCAGTTCTCAGCACAGGATATCGAATGAACTTTCTCGAAGACGGCCGGGAAGGTTGTTGTAGCATGCTCAGTTCTGGCTCCGAGTCTGATGCGAGGGCGTAGAGTTGCAAGGCAGCAGTATCTCACAGATCCTCGAAAACTCATCGCCGACTTCTACCAGGCTGCGGGATGCACACCTGCTAGCCGATTCTAGCCACCATGCGAAGCCTAGAATCTCATGATTCGCGCCAATCAAAACCGAAGGAATTTGTTGCGAGGCAAGTCGACCAAGCCTGAAAGCACTTGAAATTCTCCCTTGCCGTTGAGTCCTGCCTGCTTTTCGATGCTCTGCCTCGCAGAAATCCTGTGATGTGGAGTAAAAGGTGTTCCGAAGTTCAAAACATAACTTGCAGCCAACTGGGCTGTTCCAGCTGTCTAGGTTCTGAAACCTGCCTGGGTTGTCCGTTGCCAATGCTGCACCACCTGCTTGTTTTTCACGACATTTTGCAGCACTGGGTGCCGCGAGAACCTCATCCGCACTGGGGGACATCGGACCCATCATGTCGGCACGGTGGAAAGACAGACAACAAGCTTGAAGCCCATCGCGAGGCAGGCGACAGCCGCGGACCCAGAGGCTCGCTGGAAGCGCACAAGCTCGAGGGAACAGTCGGTACCATGGCCAGCAAGAGAGGCAAGGTCGGCAGATGTCAATTCAACCAAGGATACACTATCCAGCAGCGCACAGTGCAGTGATTTGGATTGAGGTGGGAGCAGTGTGCTGTGACACCTCAGGTGAACAAACCTCCTGGTTCGCGGTGTATAGACCAACGAGCAAGGACATGCGAGCATTGCAAAAGGGCTGCAGCTGTCTTGCCAGCTTGGTCTTCAGGTTGTCGTAGTTTAGCTTTGCATTCCGGATATGTTTCTTGAAGTTGTTGCGAAGTGGCCCTGGCCAATTTCAGGACGCCATTGCAAAGATGCTGTCCGGCTCGGCAGTCGGGAAGGGCTTGAACGCCTCTTGGGTTGTGAAGAGGGGGCCGTAGCAAAGTTGAGTGCTAGGCTCGTTGACCGTCACATGAGATGTGGCGAATGCATGTCCGGGAGATGTTTGCACGACTTGCACAAATAGAAGGGCCTGCTCGACATGTAAGTCCATTATCGTGGAGTTTCCAGGTGAAAGGAAAGTCTGCAAAGAAAGGCGTTCTTTCTGGCTTTGTTCCTTTTGTGCAGCTTCTCGGCAGCATCGCTGCGTGCCACCGTCGCAAGCTTTTCAGAGCATGCAAGCGCGCTCCAAGGATTAGTGAGAACGAGCACAAACGGGTCATTGAGGAGTCACCAGCAGATTCGCGGGTGGTCGTGTGCCTCAGCTTTGTTCGTTCATTCACTCCTATGGCTTTCTGTGGCTCGATTAACATGAGGAGGCCTCGAACAATCAGAGCTGAGATTGTTTCCTTGGATGCGAAGACTCACAAGGTCGTAAGGGTTTTGCTTTCAAGCCGGGTGCACTTCTGTGCAGGTACTACAAGTCCAAGGCTGCCAGAGAGGAGGCACGCAAGGCCTGGTGAATGGGGTAGAGTGAAGCAGGCGTTATAACAGAGCTTTCATTCTTGCTTTTATTTCTGGATGGCGTGCCAGCTGCTAGAGCATGTCCAGACAGTTGCCAGACTGGCCTGTGTCGCAGGTGCTGCAAGCCGTCCTTGCAGAGACTGCGTCGTCGATAAAAATCGATGACCGGTCTCTCAAAGACGAGGCGCGGACAGAACTGCTCGGCTCGGCGTCCTTGAGTGGCGTACGCCAGCTTAAGGCCGTTTATGAGTTTATTGTCCGTTCCTCGTTCCAGAAAAGGTCTTTGCATAAGCATGTGTTCGTTGGCAGTTTGTGCCGGCCTGGCTCTGAGAAAGCTGCGTTGAATCGGCGTGAGGGGCACCGCTTTCCCGACAGCTTTCCCGATCTGAAACTTCTGTGGGGAACTTGTAAATTTTGATGCAGTTCTGACGCATCTGCAAGAAGTCTGTGAGAGATTTGCGCCATGTCGGCTGAGAATGGCAGTTGGCTTGATAGATGGTTAACATATCACAAGTTTTGTGCAGAACGCGTATGCCGTCGGAAGTCGAAGGCTGAAAGACAAGGCAACATACCGTTTTCGATCTGCATGTCCGGTCCTGCTTTAAATATTGTTCCAGCTTGTAGCACGCAGTTTTGTGCATCCCTGGGTTGGCAGCCGAATCTGCGCTTTACTTGCTTTGCTTCATGCTCATGGGCCGGCTTTCCGACCTGCATCAGGACTCGTATAAACCTGATGTGCTGCTTGGTCGCACCAGCACATGTCTGTGTCAGATGCAACCGTGGCGGGAATACACCCTACTTATTGTCAAGCATGCAGAACATGTGTCAACTGAGAGCACACTCATGCTTGTTTCGTCAGAGCTCCCATGGACCAACGGGGGGTGAAGGCAGTTTCTGTATATGCAAATTGGAAATGCCGAGAAGGCAGAAATGCATCCGGTGCAGCTTAAGCTAAATGTTGTCCCAGATGCCGAGGTGGGGCATCGACATGCCGGAGCCCCTCATGCGGGAGGCACGCTGGATGTGGGTGGGTTATGAAAGCAACCCTTTCTTGCCAAATGGTCTTATACATTCACGAATGCGAAATGGGGTCGTATTTTTTTAGGTTTTTTTTGTTTTTTTTGGTATTTTTTTTGTTTTTGTGTGCTTGTGTGTCGCAAACGCTTCTTGACCTTGTCGCGGCCCTCGAGTAGGGGGTAACACAGTCACGCGGATAGCCGCTTGTTCGATTCATCTGCTGTCTTCTGGATCGTCTTCCACTGGAGACTACTGTAACTGTAGTGGTAGCAGAGGTCTTACAGCTCCTTATGTAGGAAAAGGCCCTCGTACAGCCGCGCTGCAATGATGCAACACTTTTTACTAGACTGTATGAAGAAAACTATGTATTGAGCATTGTATAACATGCATCATGTATTGAACGTCATACGTATATACACACATACATGCATGCATGCATGCATGCATACATACATACATACATACATACATACATATTTACATATATATATATATACATATATATATATGTACTGTAGTATATGCAATATATAAGGTATGCTAAATATTGAAATACTGAATACTAAATATGTGCAAAACCAATTACAAAACATATTTCGTGCGATATATAGTATTTGGTAGACAATATAGAAAATGCAACAAATACTGTGTCTAATATGTACGAAAAATTCATATATATACACATACACATATTGTATAGTATGTTTTTACGTAATACAAACAATACACCGCCTAGCAAAGCTACTCTATATATATATATATACGATATGTACGTGTGTATATATACATACATATTATTTAACAGAGATATGTCCTTAGTGGAAAACTTATAATCTATATAAAATATTCATACACAATATATATATATATATATATTTTTCATATAGAATGCCTATTTGGTGTAACTTATAATAGGATATATTACCTTAATATAGTATAACATATAATATGTTAACAAATATAATATACAATTACAGAACATCAGACTAACTAAGTGGTCACACGTATGTAAAAGGCCGCGTGGGTTTTCGCAAGCAGCATCTTATTCGACTGTGCTTTTAACCCACGCTTGCCAGCAAATGTGAGCAATTTGCATTTATGTTTCTTGAAGTGACTATGTAGGATCATATTGCCTTGAAACTTAGGGCGTTGCT